AAAGTTAGAAGTGAAATAGTTCTTCTCTTTCATGGAAGTTGGAACATTTATTTACTTACATACAATTACCCTTGAAGATGGCAACTGCAGTGTTTGCTGAAACATTGAAAAACCTTCACATTGAATATGGATTAGCCCTGGAAGTTAAGTTATACTCTTAGTCCGTGCTCTTCCTGCAGGGTGAAAGACCAAATTTCTTACTTATGCAAAGCAGTGGGCTGTATTGTAGTTTTGTATATTTTAATGTTCATTTCTTTAGGTAGAGACAAGATTACAAAAGCATTTTGCACTGAATGATAGTAGTATTCCGTAAACTCATTGTGCTCTTAATTTCTTCACAAAGTTAATTTTATTGTTTTTTTACTGTTGTCTAATATTTAAGCTTACTCATGAATGTGTTTTTTGATTTGTTACTGTTCCCAAATATTCAAGCTTTGTTACTTTTTGAAAGGATTTATTTAGAATTTTTGTATTATGATTTTGACCTGCACTCTGGTGATGAGACATGAAAATGTATTTAGTTTTTCCCCATATTTACTTTTAGACCAGCTTCCTTACTAGCATCTAACCTATCCTAATAGATGTTTTCTTTCCACTAAATTAACTTCACTACCACAGACAAAAAACTTGGTGAGTCTCATTCAATTCCAATCCCTCCCAGTTTTTGAGTACCTTCCTAATAGCATATTCTAAAGCAGAGTTGTAAAGCAGTGATCATAAAGCATCTACTTTCAGACCATTCTGGATATGAAATGAATCCAACAAATATTTCACATATATAGTCTTTGATCTTAAGACTTTGCATACCATGTAGCCGTCAACTCCAGAACAGTGGGTGAGAGACTGTCAGGTGGAATGAGTCATTTTTCCCCATATTTACTTTTAGACCAGCTTCCTTACTAGCATCTAACCTATCCTAATAGATGTTTTCTTTCCACTAAATTAACTTCACTACCACAGACAAAAAACTTGGTGAGTCTCATTCAATTCCAATCCCTCCCAGTTTTTGTGTACCTTCCTAATAGCATATTCTAAAGCAGTGATCATAAAGCATCTACTTTCAGACCATTCTGGATATGAAATGAATCCAACAAATATTTCACATATATAGTCTTTGATCTTAAGACTTTGCATACCATGTAGCCGTAGCTGGTTTGCGGCGAGCCATAGTTGCATTGTCCGTACCTGTGAACTCCAGAAGAGTGGGTGAGAGACTGTCAGGTGGAATGAATCATAAACACAAAGCCATCATTAACGAACAAAACACCCAAGATTTTAACGTATTATTTGACCTGTGCGTTAAACAGGAGAAAGTAAATTTTCAATAGTTGGCCACCCTCATTTCAAGCTTATATATATCCATACATTCCACCGGACAGTCTCTCACCCATTGTTCTGGAGTTCACAGGTACAGACAACGCAACTGCAGCTCGCCGCAAACCAGCTACGGCCACCGAACCACCGGATAAATAGCTAAGTGCAGAGTCTATTCCTATGAATAACAACATCTGGTGCAGTGTTGCTTAAAATACTTTTCGTCAAATGTCCTATTCATTATTTATTATCTAAATCAAGTTTGAGCCTTTTAATTAAATGAATTGATTCCCTGATGCCACTGATGATGACCTCTTGAGGTTGAAACGCGTATGGCAATAGTGTCTTTTTTATAGTGTTAATAGTTGTTTGTTTGCTTATTTATGTATTTAATTAACCTGTTTAGCTTCATGGTCATGCGAATTTCACTGGGAATTTTGAATAATACTTTTATTGTTATTGTTGCAGTGAAGAGAGACTGTCTGAATGGAACTGCAGATGGTAATAGACCCAATGTCGATCTCCCAAATGATACATGAATGATATAGCAGTGGAATGATATTGATGGGAGAACTGATGAACTTGGACCTCTCCCAGCACTGCTTTGTCCACCACATGTCCCACTGCACTTACTGGGGTATGAACCTGGGCAGCTGTGTGATTGAATATTACTTTCTCCTGAGTGATTCATGGGCTTTCCAGTAGTCTGTAAATAACTGATGTACTGTAATTTCCTGATGTGAAGTTAAAGGAGGCGAGATTATGATTATCAGAATACGTTTCATTTCTCTTACATGCTTGAAGCAGTAGAAAATTTAAAGTTAGAGATCAAAGAAATAAAATTCAATACCGTGCTATTTGTAAAATACAAGTCGAATAAGCCCATCAAAATTCATCTGTGAATTTCTTTTATATTTTTATTACCTACTCCCTCTCTTCCTGTCATGTAGCCCTTTCTTGTTTAATCTTCTTCCCTCCTTTCTACAGCATTCCTTTCTACTTAGAACAATATCAAAGAATGTCTGCTGTGCTACTAAAGTTTTTGTCACCCTATTAGAAGCACTTCCAGAAGCTACCGAATGATGTAAACACTTGTAAAATAGTTTCTTTGGCAAAAAAGCTCAGAAATTTTTGGTATTTGTGAGCATAATCAAACATGCATCAAATAGCAAACTTCATATGAAATTTTGTTTAATACATATAGTGTATTGCAAATTATACACTACATAAGATTTGAGGTTCTTACAGCGGTGGGTATGAAAATAGCCTTCTTCTGGGTTGTAGCGCCATGTAAGACCAAGAAACCTCCGAACGGAGGCAGCGATGACCCGATATTGGGTTAAGCTACTAATAGATTGAATAGTAGCGCCATATAGTGTGGTAGAAGTTTGCCATTGTTTCAGGGGTCCTTTATGCCTTCATCATCATCATTTCCCTGATGATGTAGGTAGCAGGGACCTCTGTATGGTGTTTCAAACCAGAAGACAGCCATCATATGTTAACACTGTTCATCAGATAACCCATTTGTACTGATATTTTCATTCATATTGTATGGAACATTGTTTAAGAAGGCTTCTGGTTGAATGTTTAATATACAGTTTTCAGAGACAACCATTCATACTAGTGTTCTGGTACGTGGTTAATCATGGTCCAACCAATAGTCAGGTCACATAGTGACCAGGAGCAGGAAATTGAAGAATCAACTGATGCTGCTGTCCATCCACAATTAGATGACTCAGGTGTCAGACACAGCAATGCAGAAGACCATTTAATTTTGCCAGAAGATGGTGAATTGGAGGGGGCAGTTGGTTATTCACCAAATGCTAGGGCAATTCCAGAATTTAATAACATGCATGCAGAGCGAAGACAGAGTTACTGGGAAGGTTACAGTGGATCAGTGGCAGAAAATAGGTCTCTTTGTCAACGGAGACATTCATCTGGTGAGCTGTCTGGAAGGCGTTGGCCATATGAAAATTACGTTGGGCAAAGCCTCAGTAATCAGTTTGGTCCAGGAGAAAGACGAGCCAGTACTCAGTTAGGACCACATGAAAGACGGTCCAGTAACTCCTGGAACATTACAGAAATACTTAATCACAATCACAATCAGTTTGCAGCTCAGTATGTGTACCCACCAGGAATACCACGTGAGACTGTGCTTCTTGGATCTCAGCTATATATACGATTTCTTTATGACGAAATTCTGAGGCTTAATCTTCAGGCACCAGAATACCTTAATCCTAACAATGCTGACCCTCCACTCAGGTGAGTAATCATTGCTGTAGTTCTAAGACGTTGAAATTTAATTTTTTCAGATTACTTACTTCACTGTATTCATCTGCCCATATTGATTTTGTTGATTTGTTATTCTTACTTTTGGTAAGAGCTCAGATTTATACTGTTTGTTTGTTTGTTAGTCACTCTGTGACTTGATTTAACTTAATTTGTTGAAAGGTGTAGTTGAATCATTTCTTCGTCATATTATATCAAGCCATTTCAGGATTTGATTTAGGAATTTGATGGACTTGTTGAACTCAGTTATTTCTGTATTCATGGAAATGTTCTTCAAATTTATTATTTTCATATTCTAATGTATTTCAAAAACAATGTTAAAAGTAAGCAAGATATTTGTGTGTGTGTGTGATAGTTGAAACAAATAGATATCCAAATGTGAAGTGACTTGCGATGAAAATTATAAATTGAAAATCAGCCAGTTCCATGATTAATTATCATTACTCAAGGAAATCATGATCATGTGAATGTCTAGATTGATAATTTACCACACAATGGTGTGGTCACCTCATGTGAGACAACACGGTACAACACCCTAGAAGGTTGTCATCTTCATATTCACTGCTGTGAGAACCTGAAACTTCACAGTACACTGTACTATTACTTGCAATTCATTTTCATTCCTTAATGAATTTCTATTTCCTTTACTCAACATTCAACTTGGATTTTCCCTTCAAAAACATAAAACAGGGATTTCACTGTAGTAGGTCTAAAGTTACTGCAGCCCCTTCTCCACAATTTTTAGTTAAGGAGCATTGCCAAATCTTTCATGATGGTAAAGTTCCTAAAATATAAAAAATCAAAACAAATACTTTCTTAGTTTTTCACTGAACTCACAAAACTTTTTCCACCATGCACATCCCTGCAAGGTACATAATTACATTAGACAAGTAACCCTGATTTAATTCCAGAGACTTCAAAACCAGGGCTGTGGAGTCGGTAAAAATTTACTGACTCAGATATAAAATCTTAAGAAAATACTATTTTAACACTTTTGCTACCGTGTGAGCCACGGGAAGGCCTCGCGCTTAGGGAGATTCAATGATGCGTTGAGCCACATGGTGCGTGAATAATGCTTTGTAACTATGGCTCCGGTACCTTAAGAATACAAACTGTCTACAAATCAACCAATTTCTGCAATAACCATTAGACTTATACTTAAATATAGGTTATAAGTCTAAAAAGTAACTAGTAAGTTGGATTGTGTTAGTGTATCCAGACATACAGTGTGTTCACAAATTCCCTTCGGGGTTTTGAAAAATTGTGCCATGCAAACAAATTGAGCTAGCCACATGCTGTTTGCGGCAGATTACAGTGAAACTCTGGAAGTTTTTACTGGTCTCAGTAGACCTCGATGTGGGCTCCCTTAGTAGCACGGAGGATGTCCAGACTATATTTAAGCTCTTGCCATGTTCTGTGGAGCATGTCCACTGGAATAGCTGAGATCGCATTCGTGATACGGGTCTTCAGATTATCAAGTCTCTTAAGTGGGGTTTGGAACACATTGCTCTTGACATAACCCCACAGGAAGAATCCAGTGGTGTTATGTCTGGTGAACGTGGAGGCCAAGGCATTGGACCGTCTCTGCTGATCCATCTTCCTGGAAACATGAACACATACCTGGACATGCTGGAACTGTACGCAGTACCACAAATTGAGCACTTACAGCCACACATCATTCTGCAACAAGATGGTGCTCCACCTCGGGGTCTGCAGGTACGCCCTTACCCAGACAAGACATTTCCAGGAAGATGGATCGGCAGAGACGGTCCAATGCCTTGGTCTCCACGTTCACCAGACATAACACCACTGGATATTTTCCTGTGGGGTTATGTCAAGAGCAGTGTGTTCCGAACACCAGCTAACGGACTTAATGACCTGAAGACCCGTATCAGGAATGCAATCTCGACTATTTCAGTGGACATGCTCCACAGAACATGGCAAGAGCTCGATTATCACCTGGACGTTCTCCGTGCTACCAAGGGATCCCACATCGAGGTCTACTGAGGTCAGTAAAAATCTTCCAGAGTTTCACTGTAATCTGCAGCAAACCGCATGAGGCTAACTCAATTTGTTTGCGCGACACAATTTTTCGAAACCCCCAAGGGACTTTGTGGACACACTGTGTTACGACAAATTTAGAAGCTAACTCATTGAGATGGAAAATAATTTCCTTTACCAATTCACCAGTCTGGTATATAGTATTTGCTCAAATATAAGACTAGGTCTTTAGGCACACAGAATGAAGTTATTTAATTATAATTTTCATTACCATTTTATTGAAATTAGTGTTACAGTCTTAAGTTTGAACTGGTGCGGCTATAATTTTGGTCTGCCTAAGAGCATATCTTGTTCTCGTCATTTTAAAGAAGCTTGTGATGGAATTTTTGCTGTTATTTGTTGCAGTCCAAAATTTAATATGGTCTGACACTGAGTTTGGCCTGTATGCTAACATTCTCATACTGCAGAAAGTTAAACAAGTAAAGTATATATTTTCCAGGTAAATTATGTTATGATTTTGTTCTTATAATGTAATATAATATTCTGTAACTGATTTTTCCTTCAAGGAATAATGACATAAACTGTATCAGCCAAAATCTTCGCCAACTAGCAAATGAGTTTGCTCAGTCAGAGCTTCGTCACAGAGTTCAAGAGAGAGCTGAGTCTGCCTGTTTAGAAAATCTAAACTTCACTACCTTCTCTGATCTCCTGTTTGGATTGTTTCAGGTATTGTACATTACCATGTTTCATCATTTACTTTTTACTTCTTACAGCAAGAACCTTTGGATTGTATGAAATGTTTAACATTTCTTGAGTAGCTGATGTACTGTTGGCTTGATCTCAAGAAGGGTTTTGCTCCATGAAGTTGGTTTACAGCAAGAAGATATACTGTGTAGTACATTACCAGTGTTTTCTCTGTACACTCTTCCTGTGTTAAAACACAGACCCACTGATGGAAAGTTGCATTGTAACTTTTCCTCTCTTAATTTCTTGCAGATGGGAATTTCAAGTGTGATCCTGATTTGTAGTTGTACTTTCTAATAGCATAGACAATAGAATAT